CTCACCAGTGGATCCTCTGCAGTGACCTTTTTGAAATGATGGACAGGTTTTTCATGTCAGCTGTTTTCTATTTTAGCATTACAGGAGTACTTTATTGACCAGTCAGAAAACATGACTTAATCTATTTATTCACTGTTTTTATTTATCATGCCTCCATCCCCATCAATGTCTGCTCGAAGTAATTGCATATGAATTTTCAGCAGGACACAGTAAAGTAACCCATCCGTATAATCTGTTGTCTGTTTTAGGCGCTTTGTTTGGAACTTCTTCCGTCTGGAAAACGAGCATCTGAATAACTGTGGTGAGTTCAGAGCTGTGCGGGACATCTCAGTAGCGCCTCTAAATGCTGATGACCAGACGCTGCTGGAGCAGATGATGGACCAGGAGGATGGTGTCAGGAACAGACAGGGAAAGAAGAACTGGAAGAGAAGCTACAGCATGTCCTTGAGAAGACCACGCCTCTCCTCCCAGTACGCTCAGCCTCACAGACACAAATCCAGACATAGAATACATAAGAATGAGATTTGTTCAGCAAGATTGATTTAAATTAGTGGTTCTCAATCTTGTTGAATCCCCCCATTTGTCCACAACAATATTCAACGGCCGACATGCCTAGTTTCCGTTACATTTCCATTTCCAGGAGTCCAGACGTTTTAGGAAATGGTTTTTAGGAATCCTAGTCTTTTTAACCAATGAATTCACCTGGCTTTTCCAGTTACTTTTGATGTACTGGATAAGAATTAAGGATTTTTAAAAATATTTTTACTCATTTCTATTTGATAAAAAGTTTTAGAGCTGACTGGAAAATGTATATTCCTTATAAAAATGCCTATGGAGTTTAAACGTTTATTACTACATTTAAATTTACATTTAGTCATTTAGCAGACGCTTTTATCCAAAGCGACTTACAAATGAGGACAATGGAAGCAATCAAAATCAACAAATTAAATCAAACTAGACATGACTTTTGCGGAAATCATACGTTTAAATTAAGCTACCTCATATATCCTGTTTTTTCCAAGTGGAAGTGGTTTTTACAGTGGGAAAACACTAAAAAATGTTGAAGGGGTGAATTAAAAGATTATTTTATTAGCCAGGAGTTTTAGTTGTTTTAGATCATTTTAATGCTTGTTTTGTCTCATTTAAATAATTTTAAGTTATCTTGAGGCCCCTTGAAAGTTTGCAGAGGCCCCTTAATGGGCCCCAGCCCCGTTTGAGAACCACTGGTTTAAATACAAGCTCAAAAAGCTTATTATCCTTGCAATTTCCTCTAGAAATGCTAATAAATATTAGTGGCACTAGCAAAGTCCTAGTTTTTTTTTTACAAAGACCTCAGCAGTTCTAGTGGCATTTTCCATAGAGAGGGTAAAAAATAGGTCTTGAAACCACAAAAAAAAATTATTGTAAATGTATTTTTTGTTTTGTTTGCAAAAAATGGTCCACTTAACCATCCGAAAAAATATATATATTTTTTTTATTTATTTCAATTTTGAAGCAATGAACATTTTCTGTTAAAAAAATTTAAATGGCTAACTTTAGAATGAGCGACAGGGTTACAGATTTAGCCATAAAAAATAGGTGTCAAGCAGTTTCCGGCCAAATGTTGGTTTGTTGTTATTGATACAGTAAATGTGTATTTTGCTTAACTTGAGGAAAAAAATAGTCTTTCTTGAAACAACTTTGAAAATGAGGTTGAATTGTTGAGAAAATAATCACATTTTGGTGTGTTGACGTACATGAGTTAAGGTAAAGGTTTTTTTATATTCAATTTAAACAAGATTTAATAGTGTAGTAGTTCTCTCTTTATTAAAAAGACCATTTTTAATCAAGGGTTTATGCCTTTATTAAAAAGTAACAAGACATCAGGGGCCCTGTTTGTGGAAAGTGCCCTGTAAGCCTCCAAGCGCCATCATACAAATGTCCTCATGAGATTTCATTGAGTTTGATGAAACTCAACAATTTCTTTTCTTTTTTTATTTTCAGGTCGAAGGTCCGAGACACCAAAGTCCTGATAGAGGACACCGATGACGACACCTGACCCTTGCGTCCACAGTGGCTTGAGAAATTGTTTTTTACAGGACCATAGACCTCAGTGAGCCTCGACTTCAAAAGCTATCCAATCAATCCATCACAAAGCTGCCTGACTACACACACACATTTCACACCGAGACCTCACTGATTCACACACGCAACAGGAGCAGCCACTTCTTAGTTACTGTACTGTTTATGATTCCTTCGTTACTGCCTTGAACATTTTTGTGAAGATCCAGTATGTGGAAGAAACAAAAATTGAATTCAATGGACGGTGTATGTATACGTCAGTTCACAAACCGCTTGATGGGACCACGCTCATATAAACTATGGACACGTCATCACAGCAGTCGTGATCAATCAATCGGTTTGGATACTGTCTTTAAAGACTTTTATGATGAGGGTATGAAGACATTCATGTAGCAGACATATGGACTGGTTTACCCTCATTCATGACAATTACAATTTATACTTTTTTTTTTTTTTTTTTCAATGCACATTGTTATTTATGTGAAGGAAAGATGCCTTGAACGTTGCTTTAAAGGAAATCTTTTAAATATAGTAAGGATTTACCTTGGACCTTTAACCCAGGACCTCTGCATGCTTTTGACTGACCCTCAGGTGGCTCTGAAGAAAAAAACTGATTTGATTCATATTTATTGAAATACTTTGCCAGTTGGTTTAAACACAAACCACCAATGTAGTTACCTGCTCTAAAATGCCAAATGAGAGTGTCTGCTTATGTTTGTTTCACATGTCTTAAAGTCAATACAGGTTGAAGAGGTGCTGCATTGTAGACACAGAATGAGAGAAAAACGCCCTTAGCTTTAGAAGTGTCAGGCTCATGTTAAGAGCAAGCCAAATATCAGAAGCATTCCTTGAGAAATTCTCCTTAGCTGTCATTTTGCTTCCTACATATGATCATCCTGAAACCCCGTTTTGTTGTATCTTAAAGCTTGTTAAACACACAAATCTTATTCAGCAATCACATTCCACTGAAGTAGCATTCCATGTCTGCGATCTTGTTTTTATGTTTAATTTTCAGCCAGTGTCTTCCAGAGTTTGACTAATTCTTAGACCACCTGAGGGGTTTCAGAGGTTGTGGGAGAAACGACACCTCCCTTTTCTTTTCAGCTGAATCTTTGGCTGACACAGGAGCACAATGAGTTTCTGTGTGAATCATTCGTAAAACTTGTTGCATAAGTCATCACATTCAATTTGGTGTGATAAATTATGTAAGGATGGGTTTCTGAACGATTATGCCCAGGTTATTCTCATATGATGGTTTATAATCCATTCCAATCAAAAATCTGTATTTGTACCTCTGAAAGCCTAGCTGTCTGTGAATGAGATGGATGTAAGACAGGAGGTACTGCAGTCGCACATTCATGTAATACCCAAAAGACTCACCGGCTACACCTCTCATACTATGTCATGTACTACTGTCCCAAGTAAATGCTTGGACCAAAAATACAAAAAACAAGGTTTCTCTGTTGATGTTTTCTCATGGCATTTGTACTCATTTTTGACTGGCATTTAAGATTTATATTTCTAAATCAGAAAAATAGACAAGATCGTGTACTCCACAGCTTCACTCGAGACGCATGATCAAGAAACTTCAAACTCGTGATTTCAAACTATGCTGCTATACTGTAATAGAATTACAGAATCAAGAAGTTGTCATCTAAAGTATAAATATGTCTGACCTATCTATCTATCTATCTATCTATCTGTCTAGGCTTTATATCGGCCACTGGCCACTCTGCTCTGTAAGATATCGGCATCGGCTGTCAAAAAAAACAAACAATAATGGTCAACCATTAGTTTGGTTACCTACATTCTTCAAAATATCATCTTTTGTGTTCAGCAGAAGAAACAACTTGAGGGTAAGTAAATGACAATTTTCATTTTTGGTTGAACTATCTTTGTAACTACTATGTATTTAACCATTGGTTACAGTATACTTATGTACATACTTGGTCCATTTTAATTACATTTAAAGTACTTGAGTTGTAATTACACTGTTAAGTGTACCCCGAACTGTAACCCAACACACTAACCCCTATAACCCTAATCCTACTCCTAAACCTAACCATACCTCTCTTGCATGTAGTTTCCCAGAAAATCCAGTCTTGTTAGGTATTTAATGTTAGTACCTAGTGCTTAAGACCACCTAATATAAAGTGTGACCAAGATGTCTCTCCATTGAAAGTCTATTCCACCAAAACTTTGAAGCTTCAAAAACTTCATGAAGAGATCATAAAACTAATCCATACTTAATCCAAGCCTTCTGAAAAGACATGTTCGCTTTACATGATAAACCGTTTTCGTTTAAGCTTTTATTTATGTATTAACTTTGATCACATATAGTAAACGGAAGCTTAAACATGTCTGTTCTCACATCATGTAATTGTTTGAGTGTCAAGATCTTAAGCCTCAAAGCCTAAATTAAATCTGTTCATCATTAAGCAATTGTGTCTTTCAGTATTTAATGAATGTTATGATGCAAAAAGCAATACAGCTTGCCTTAAAACCTTTATTCTCCTCACATTTTAGTTATCTATACATGTGTGGTCCATTTGTTCTTTTAACAGTTAAATGATGGTCCTTCACAATGACATCCAGACACATTGGCACACAAGTGGTTTTAGATGAAGTGGCTGTCTGTCAGCTCAACAGAGGCTTGTGTGAATGAAGTCTCAGAGAAAGTCAGCAGACAATGAGATGCTACAGTACAGATGTGTCCAAGAGCCAGTCAGTGTCAGCCTCCGTCCTCTATAAACAAGGCATCAGAAAACCTACAGGTGATTTCAGATCATGCATGATGCACAGCAAGACAAAAAATTGAAATGCGCAGCGCCTGCTGCTTCAAAGCATTTTCAATAACATACGATGAGTGTTTTGCGATGTCAGGTTACAGTAACAGTCTTTAATCTGAATTAAGGCAACTAGAGAAAGAACTTAAAGTTCTCACAGATGAATGTGAAAGCAGAAACGTGAGTGTTCACGTGATAGACACGACACTGTTTTGCCGTTACGAGTAACCTAAAGACACTCCAGGAAGTAACAGACAGCGAGATCTGATTTCCAGAGCCGTGTTCATTTGAGGTCCAGGACCATGGAAGCTGGGTTCTCCAGGTAAGAGCGCCACAGGTTGGAGAAGCGGGACATGGTGGCGCCGTCAATGACGCGATGATCGGCAGACCAGCTGACGTTCATGATGTATGCCTTCACTACCTCGTCACAGGAGTTAAACCTGGGCAGCACCTGCGATAAAGCAGAGAAACGGCTTTTAGCTTAAAGGTGTGGAATGAGCAAAATTTCTGTGAAAATCTGCAGGCAAAAAAGGTCCATTGTTTACGGTCAAGAGTGTAGCGATGTATGAAGCGCAGCTCACAGAAGTCACTTTCAAAACAAGCTGCTTGCTGTTGATAAAAACTTTCACAACCACATGGAGTCCTAATGAAATCCTACTGAAATTTGTTAAACAATGGTTAAGAAAAAGGTGAATTTTTTTTTTTTTAAGTTCTTAAACTCATGAACTGTATTTATGTTGGTTTCATACAATTCTGATAAACTTTTACACTATTACAAGAGATGTGGCAATTTAATGATTCTAAAATGTCATGTGGTGTAACCATGAAGTAAAAAGTAATTACATATTTTAATAAAACCTTAAAATACATGGTAGTGTACATATTGTAGTAAAAAAAAAAAAGTATTTAAAAATGCATTTATCAGTAGTGTTTTTAGGGAGTCGCACCACATGACATTTTACAACCTGAGCTAATTTCACCTTGTCATAAAAATATCAAATTATCTGATATTTTAAGAGACTTTTTGACCTTAAAGTCAATGCTGATATCATTTTCTGTTTGTGTGTTCATTTATGCATGATGGTTGCATCACATGACTTTAATTTAGTGGAAAAAATTATAATATTAAAATGCTGCAAAGCCACATTGTAATTTAAAGAATAAAATAATAATAATTATATAATTTATTATATAGATTATGCAAAACTTTTTTTCATTACATCAGCACAGTTGCATCACCCTTTATTTGAGTTTTTTACGAGTTTATGCCCAGTCCAAAAAAAAAAAATTGTTCTGAAAATATGCTCATAAAGACGTATGTTAGAATTACAGTATGTATGAGCTCCATTTTAGATCAAATTATCTGATATTTTAAGAGACTTTTTGACCTTAAAGTCAATGCTGATATTTTCTGTTTGTGTGTTCATTTATGCATGATGGTTGCATCACATGACTTTAATTTAGTGGAAAAAATTATAATATTAAAATGCTGCAAAGCCACATTGTAATTTAAAGAATAAAATAATAATAATTATATAATTTATTATATAGATTATGCAAAACTTTTTTTCATTACATCAGCACAGTTGCATCACCCTTTATTTGAGTTTTTTACGAGTTTATGCCCAGTCCAAAAAAAAAAAATTGTTCTGAAAATATGCTCATAAAGACATATGTTAGAATTACAGTATGTATGAGCTCCATTTTAATGTATTTTTTAATAAATAGATGGGACAAAAAGTGAGTATTTCACTTACTCTTTAAGATACTGTTGATATGCTGGGCATATATGCGTTATTATAATTACAGTCTACACTAAAGAATACATAAAATCAACTTATTTATCGTAGATCCAATAATTCAATATAAATCACCTCCTTAAATACAAATACATTTTTTATTAAATGGTGAAGAAAACAAGCGGTTCACCTGGATCTTTCCCAAAGCTCCGATGGCCACCTCCGGAGGCAGAATCACCGGCTTGGCATACGTCCCTCCAATCTAAACAAAAAACCACTGTTTTAATTCCCTTATGATGAGAGATCTGATCATCGCTAGACAGCAAATAGAAGCCCATTGAAAGCCTGCTGTTGTTTGAGTGCTTAGCTTATAAAAGAAGCTCTTGGACTCATATATAACCTTCAAAAATGACAGCATAATGATCATGAGGCCCAAAACAAGGTGATACAGCGTTCCAGACCAAATACAGCGTGTCATTTATGCACCACTAGCGGCGTAAAAAAAGAACTGCAATCTGTTCGAGCATCGAATGACGTTATGAATTTTTTTCAGAAACCTGTTTAGTCACAGTTATTGTTGCAATTCAATTTGGTGGCACTAGAGCTGTAAAAACTGCACACTTGGGAATCTGCATCCAAAGTCTAAAACCAGGCGGGTGGAGTCTCACCGAGCCGATGTTGGAGAGTGTGAAAGTTCCTCCAGTGAGGTCAGCGGTGCCCAGCTGTCCGGCTGAACCCAGAGCCTGCAGACGGTTTAGCTCCACAGCAATGTCAAAAACACTGAGGGCCTGAACGCTCTTCACATTGGGCACCAGGAGGCCCTGAGCAGTGTCCATCGCCAAGCCGATGTTATGAGACGCCTGACAACAATGAAAATGTTACTCATATTGGGCTGTTTAGGACTTTTAAGCAAACCGTGGCCTCAAAATGAAAGGCTGTGATGTGACTGAAGTGTTTTGGGGCTTGCCTTGCCTTGAATGTGATGTTCTGGCAGCCTTCATCCACAAAGGCATTGAGAGCAGGAAACTGCAAGAGCCCGAGTGACGTGGCCTGAACAAAACAGTAAAAATACAAGCTATAATTATAATCTGACCGCAAACACCTGGAGTTAAAGGAATAGTTCACCAAAAAAAGAAAACGGTGTCATCATTTACTCACCCTCAGGTTGGTCCAAACCTGTACGAGTTTCTTACTTCTGTTGAACGTAAAAGAAGAAATTTTGAAGAATGTTGGTCACTGGTCCCCATTAACTCCCATGGTATGTTTGAAAAAAACACTATGGAAGTCGATGGGTACCAGAAACTGTTTGGTTACCCACATTCTTCAAAATATCTTCTTCAGCAGAAGAAACAAACTCCAAACAGGTTTGGAACAACTTGAGGGTGAACTTATCATTTTTGGGTTAACTATCCCTTTAATATTCACATAGTTAAAGCAAGTGTACACATTTAATCTCTCTCTCCCTCTCTGACATTTCCTGCCTTTCATGGAAATATTTTATTTTAAATAGAAGAGCCATTCTGTTTTTAAAACTGTTCAAAAATCATGTTTTTTTTATCCTGCATTCCAATTAATATCAATCAAACTGCAGTTGGGTTGTTTTGATTAAATAATAATATCTAAAAATACAGCTAACCAACACAATAAAACACAAAAATATGATAACACAATAAAAAACATGATTCCGTTATCCGTTTTTGCAAATAAACTCATATATGTATGTGTGTGTATATATATATACAGTAGTTTTAGTTTAATTACAAAAATGCATATTTAAAATTATTTTAATTTCATTTTACTCATTTATTTTTTTTTATTTAGATTTAAAAAGACGTTTGAAGTATTTGATCTGATAGCGTGATGGTCCTTGAATGTTTAATGTGTCTGAATAGAAGCAGGTGGCAGTGGTGGAAGGTAACAGGAGAGCACCTTGATAAAGAAAGGCATGTAGCTGAGTTTGACACCGCGAGACTCCGCCAGGTCCTTCAGCTCGGAGCGTAACCGCACTAGCTGCGTCAGGTCGACCTCCTCACAGTAACCGAAGTGAGGAATCTTCAGAGCAGCAGTCATGCTCTTCACCATGGCCTTCTGGAAACCTACGTTCATGACCATATGGGAGAGACAGCCAATCAAGAACATGTGAATCAATGACAAATAAGAGTGTCACCATTAGGGCTGTCAAAATTTTTTTTCGAATTTCGAATATTCGTCGAATTAAAAATAAAAATCCACATTGCATATTTATCACATTTTCTAGAGGGACATCTATCATTGCACTCGCGTCTGGCACAAGAGAGCGGCATGTTTAGAAAGCCATGTAAAATTAATGCAAGTTCAACTTTTAAAAAAACATGTCTAAAGACGATGGGTTTTTCCCATCCCACTGTATCTCATGTTTTTAAATAAAGAAAGTAGCCTACTCTTTGTGATTGGTTTTCGGTCCTTTGTATTAAACTATACATACATGCATGGTGCTGTTTTTTTTTCTAATTGTTTAAGCAACTTTATTAATTATATATGGTTTATAAACATTATTTTAAACATTATGCACTTTTTTTTTTTCAAAGACAGCCCTGTTATTTTATTACGCTTGGAAGAAACGTGCATAATATTTTGCGCGATGCGCCCTCTTGTGGCCTCAGGAGAGAAGCCAAAAGCTTTTTTTCCCCTAACTGAAATTATGCCTTTTAAATTCGAATATAATTCGAATTTTGATAATATTTAAGTAGAAAATTTTAATTTAGTTTTTTATCATTTTGACAGCCCTAGTCACCATTTAAAAAAGGGGGATATCTTTTTAAAGTTGAGTTAGAAACATGCAGCAAGTTCTTAAGGCCCATTGCACCAAGGACGATAACTATAAAGTTTTAATATTCATTCTAATTCTGTGAGAATAGTGACATCAACACCACAATTATGACAATAACAACACAGAGAAACGACAACACTGGAATCACTTTCAGAATGATTTTTTCTGTTTGATGAACAATAAAAACATTGACAGCCAATCAGAATACACATGGCTTTCAAGAGTTTGAGTATTTGCAGACAACAAAACTGCAGCACACAATTATATAAACTGAGCATTATTTTGCTTTGCTGTGAATGCTAATTTAGCATTAGTTATCATTCTTGGTGTGAACGGGTCTTAAATATCTTAAAGCAGCAAATGGCAAAACTGAAACGCATACATAAATATTTGAGCATTGCTGTGGAGACTAATATAGTTATCGATATATTTATCTTAGAATTACCCTTTATACAGATACTTTTTGTATTCATGTTTGTTTCATTAGGTTTTATAAAACCTGATGACTCTGAAAACGTCATATGGTGCAACCCAGTAAAAACATTTTTCTCACATCAAATATATGTAATTGTACACATTATCATTTTCAAAAAATTTATATATTTTACAAAGTATTGAAAATCATGAACTGTTAATTCTTAAATATTACATTTTTTGGGGGAGTCGCACCACATGACCTTTAAGAAATAATAGTAGATAATAAAAGATAAAAAATAAAAGACAACTACTTAATAAGGTTGTCTTTTTTAAATACCTCTCCACATAAAATTTCAATATTAAAAAATAATTTAAATCCAGAAATTAAAAATATGCTAATCACAGAAGAGGTGTTTTTAGTTATTGTATGCACGACCCATGTACAACAACAAACACTCACTGTTCAGAGGCTCTGTCCTGTCTTTCCAGGTGACGACGGGTCTCGGGATCGCCGGAGGAGCCATGATGGGCGTCTTTTCTTTGGGTGGGGTATCTGCAGTGGGTGATGGGGTTTTCTGGACTTCATACGGGAGGATAGCTCCTGTCTGCTTGGCTAAGAAATTGATAATGTCTTCTTTCAAAATACGGCCGTCTGTTCCTGTCCCGACCACCTCACTTAGTTTAATCTAGTAGAGGACAGATTTAGAGATCAGAAATGACCAAGAACACGATAAAGCCACAATGACAGGGTGTTGTAGGTGGTTACAGCCTGATGCAATTCAAAATTACATTGTTCTCCATGGCCAGACGGCGCACCGCTGGTGTCGCCTGGCTTTTTTGGCCCTTGATTTCCTGATGTGATTGCTCATGGGATATTGCTGGAGTCTCTACCACATCTTCCTCTGGGGCGCCCTCTGCAGGACAACAGACCAAACTATTTTACTACACAATGACAGAACTGGAAGGACATTTCAAAGTCAGTATCAAGAATACGATCCACAGCAGTGACTGACCCAGCGCTTTGTCCGTTTCGATGTCCACAAGAGGTGAACCAACATGTGCGATAGCATCTACGTCATAATACAGTTTACGGATGATGCCGTCATAACGGCTCGTGATGGTGACAGATGCTTTGTCGCTCTGGACTTCACAAATGCTGTCAAACTGGGAGACTCTGTCCCCTTCTTTGACATACCTGCATAAAGACAGAGAAGCAAAACAACAGAATACATTTTTTTTGAATATTTACTCAGTATATTATATGGGTCAATCAGTAAAATAAACCTTTACTACTATTTACTGATTCCTATGCTAATTGACAAAAGTCCTCATATTTTGCACCTATAATGTTTAAGCTGTAACACCATAACAAAACTGAAACTATTTTTTTTATGCTATGAAAATGCGAGTGCTGACAATGCTGGTGTGTTTAAGTCGGCATGAAATGAAAATTCACATTATAAGTTATAGATCGTTATATAGACCTGTAAACAATTCATCCACATGTTTGTTTATTTATTTTTAATGTACCTCTTTTTATGTTTAATCAAAAAGGTCATAACTGGACATATGCAGATGCTTAAACCCAACCCCACAAACTCACGTTCATCTGTTTTTATTATGTTTTAGTTATTTTAAACTAAACAAAAAAAGAGAAATGTTGTCTTTGCAGTTAGCTGAAATAAGTGTTTATGGTTTTAGTTAACAGTAATAAACCCGTCACAAAAATGTCACAAATATCTGTTGCTACTTCCATTTCATTGTGACTTTAAAAATGTGCAAAAATGTCATTATATTATAATATTATGTAATATTTAGTGCGGTCAAACGATTAATTGCATCCAAAATAAATGTTTTTGTTTACATAATATGTGTGTGTGTTCTGTGTATATTTATTATGTGTGTATATACAGTGGGTACGGAAAGTATTCAGACCCCCTTAAATTTTTCACTCTTTGTTATATTGCAGCCATTTGCTAAAATCATTTAAGTTAATTTTTTTTCCTCATTAATTATAAAATCGCCTGCGATTTTTTTGCGTAACTTGTCAGTGAGCTACGGCTCTGTGTAGTAAATTCTGCTCCATCTGAAAGCACGTGATGATGATTTCCTGCTGATTACAGAACCGGCTTTTTTAACAAAATGCACATGAAAATCGCATTCGATTAATCGTGCAGCCCTACATAAGGGTAAGTAAATTATGTCAACATTTTCAATTCCAGGTGAACTACCCCTTTAAAATCTGTTGCAGCATTTTATAAGACAAATGACATGAGCTTACCACTCTTTTACAGTCACTTCCATTATGCCCTCTCCAATGTCTGAGAGTTTGAACTGCAGCACCTGTCCAGAGGCCACTGAAAGTACAAACACATGTATACTGCAGCAGTCCAGTTTATTAAGACAGCAATTACATACACACAGAAAAATCAGGGCTACTAATGTGTTGTACAAGCCAATATGCCTGTTTGAACATTTCACGCTTGCAGCACATACCATGGCTGCATCTGAAGCCTCTCCAGTGGACTGAAGTGAGGGGTGTGGAGATGTGAAATACAGGGGTCGGTCCAAGAGCCTGGAGCCTGGGACACTGCTGGAGGCGATGGGATACAACCCGAGGCTGTGATGCACACAAGCAAGACCATTCAAACTCTCTGCTCATGCCAATTACTGCTTTAACTAATACATTAAACCCAGGTTTTCAACCAGAGATCAGTGAAAAATATATATACACAAGACACAGAAATTTATTTTTTTTAATTGCATAACATTTCATGACATTCATGACACTAGGTCTGTTTTGTTTGAATAGTGTATGCAGTAACTTAACTGACTTTAACAGAGGACTGGACTGAGCACCTCAGCAGCTCATTATTATACAATAAGTTTTGCATGTTCGCTAAAAAGATTTGACAAGGTAACTCTGACACTCTGTGCGTTGTATATGGGATATCCTTTTAAAGATAGCATCATTGTTTATAAACTCACCAGACGTCTCAGTATTCTCAGAGAACACCGCACTGGCGTCACCGCCGCCATGTTTGCCCAAGACTCTCACAGAGATGATAAACGCAGGAGATCTCTCGCTCCATATCAACATCCTGGAACCCCGCGATATGAATAACCAGCTCACTGAGCACATAACAACAGTTTGTAATACAAAAACAACCATACTGTAATGCTACAACCACTTATTATTTAACAGAAAATGTTTTCGTGGAGAAAAACTGAAGCATGACTTCCTGTAATCGCGAACCGGAAGTGATGTTGAGTTGATCATCCCTCATCTTTGAATTCTCTTGTTTGGTTACGCTCTGCTGACGTAATGCTCACGCCTACCTTGACCAGCCAATGGGCGTTTAGTTCTCTGAAGCATGTAAAAATGGTTTGGCTGTATGTTAAAATTATTTTAAATTAACAATAAAATATTTTGTGCTGTCATTACAATGTTAACGACATAAGATTTTCTGTTGCAGAACGAAACGTGAAAGTCAGTAAAATATGTTTACAGACTCTTGTGACAAAATACACTTTAGCATACTTTAAAATAGAATACTTCAAAAGAATATACTGTGCGAACTAACTTGACAACATTACAATGCACATTTTAAAAGCGTACCTGTGTTAACAAACATAGTTATAAAAGTGTACTCTCTTTAAGTACAAGTGGCCTTTTAGTTCATTAGTATTATATTATTTGCAAGTACAGTTTTTTTAAATATACTTTTAAGATTTGAAGTACACTACAAGTGCACATTCAATACAATAATAAAGCACAAGGGTTAAAATCCTTTTTTAAAAAACAGGAAATTCATGATGGAACCCACAGTGATTAGGATTTATGGGTTTATGTCATGTTTGAAATAATTAAAAATGAATTGTTTTATACCAATTTGATATCATATAAATTGCAGTTGCTTCAGACATCGGTCTGGTTCCATTGCATGGCTGAGGTCACGTGACCTCAGTCTCCATGTCACTCACAGTTCAGCAGTCATTCCTCTGATGGTGAGATTAGCACAGCGGCCTTGACCCTGAACTTCTTTTCCACAAAACCTTTAAACTGCTGCTTAATTGGCTGATTCAAATGAATGGGTTAAGACGACAATAGATGATGAGGTCTGACTGTGTGAGATGAAGCACACAGTGTTTGTGCATGAGTAAAGGAGGATATTCTCTCATGCGCTGTGTTTGTCTGGATGCTTAGAAGATTGTTTTACCCATTACTCGTTTAATATCGCTCCTCCGATGCATTTCTGTGCAATGACATTTTGCCTAAAGGACACATAAGTAATTAGTGTACTAAAATGTAATCATTATTAGATCATCATTGTTTTTATAACAACTTAATAGCACCTATCTCGTCATTTTTTTTTTATATATATATTTTTACTAACTTTCTAATTATGCAGTTAAAATGCTGATCAAATCTTATGATAAATAATTTGATGATTAGAATGTATGATAATGATTTTGCATCATGTTTTAGTATAAGAATAATATGACACATTTTATTAAAAAAACTATCTGACACATTATGTGGAAAAAGTTAAGGCAGTTGGATATTCAGAAATAAATATTATAAACAAAAAAACAGTAACATGTAAGGGATAATGTACAGTGGTTACATCACAAAAGCTATTAAAAAAAGAACTCAGTTATTGAGTTTATTTTGCGATAATAATCAGGAAGACTGTATATTATCCTCAGCTTATTGCACTTATTAATAATTATATTTTAAATGATTTCATTATGTGAGAAGAAAAATACCACGCTAATGTAAACTGATGGAGTGTTATTTTAATATTATTTATGTAATTACCTTTTTAAATTGTTAAATTAGCTTTTTTTTCGGTTTTTCTGAAAATAGTTTGTAATTTTGTTGTGCTGTTTTTGTATTTATATTTAGCTTTAATTGATTTAAATTCAGTTTTAGGTTGAGTAAGTTCAGCATTTTTCTAACTTTTTTGAATTTCAGGTTTTTTAAGTTTACAGTTTTGCCATCTAATATTTATATTTTATTTTACTTCAGCTTTATTTCAATTAACAGAAATTCATGTCAAGCGGCACTTAAGATTTCTTGCTGCTTTTTTCATTCCATCCATGTCCGGTGGGGAAGAGCTCCTCCTCCAGCGTTTCTCAAATATCTACAGTGCTGATAAGCTCTCTTGTAACGCTGCGGGTGACCTTGCCTGTTATTAGAAACCCTGTTCCATTTGGACTCTGGCCTCTGAGCATGTCCTCGTCTCAGGTGTTACCTTAGCGCTGCCTCACAGCCCTGACCCTTGAATAATCCAGACTGCTGCAGTGCTCAAAATCCCACGCCACGTTATTGTAACAGAGATGGACCGAGAACCATATGAATGTGTCACAGAGGTCATATCGCAAACCCAATCAGAACAAGAATTCAGGAGTGACGTTCCCACCTCTTTGTGAATTCAGAGTAACCAAAACCCTCTGCCAGCACCGGAGCCGTTGAGCTGTAACCCGAGGCCGTCACCTGAGCCGCTCTTACCTGTGTTTCGTAGCTCTTTGGCAGGTGGAGCTGCGAGGCGTTCTGGAGAAACGCAGCTTCTTTCTTCTGTTCTGTGACTTGAGGAACGTTCCTCTGGTTTATATGGGGGAGAACAGGAGGACGTGATTCTTCATCAGCAATATCCTCTTCCTCCCTTTACGGACCTCAATGAAGGCATGTCCCATGTGTCGGCCTGGGGGGGACACTGGCGCTTCAAGCGCAGACGCCCGGTCATGGTGCCACCAACAGCCTGGATAACACACATCTCAGGTAAATCTATCTATCTATCTATCTATACACTCTAAAAAATGCTGGGTTGTTTTAACCCAACTTTGGGTCAAATATGGACTAACCCAACTGTGTACTGTATCAATCCACTTTAAATCATAAGTACTGGACACACTGTATGTTTGTACATGTCGGTCTGCATGATACAGTTTTTCTCAGTCGCTTTGGTGCATTTCTCGACTCATCCTTAATATTTGCAAAGAAGTGCATTTCTCAAAACAATTCATACAAACAGCACCACACAATAGATTACCTGCAAAAGCCTGTAACTTACTCAAAATCTTTAGTTCATCTCTCAAAAGTAAGTATTTATGTCAATGAACATATCAGTGCTATCAGAATGAAAAGTCCTTGTCTCATTGTTCACAAACAAGATAGTCAAAATGCTTAGTCATGTTGTCAATATAACAGTGCATTCTGTTAGTATTACCTGATGTAAACTATGGCAGCAGTTTGGATGCAGTTACTGTATTGAAATGCAGAAGGCTGCACTTCTTATGTATGCCATATATCCATTTCAAAAATGAACTGGTTTATCATTAGCTGATCTACATTCTCTTCATTAGTGAAAGTCAACATTCACCTGCTCAATTCATGGCAAATTTACACAAAGTCTAATAGAAATGTGTAGAAAATATGCTTGACAGT